AAAAAAAAAAAAAAAAAAAGAAAACTAAAACTTTTATTGAAGAACATAAATACATAAATGAAGACCAGGGCTGGGTACAGTAGCTCACACCTATAATCCCAGACCTCTGGGAGGCCGAGGCTGGTGGATCACTTGAGATCAGGAGTTCAAGACCTGCCTGACCAATATGGCAAAACTCCGTGTCTCTACTAAAAATACAAACATTAGCCAGGATGGCGGCAGGCACCTGTAGTCCCAGCTACTCAGGAGGCGGAGACAGGAGAATTGCTTGAATCTGGGAGGTGGAGGTTGCAGTGAGCCATGATCGCCAGCCTGGGCAACAGAACAAGACTCCGTCTCAAAAAAAAAAAAAAAGGCCTGGAGAGACAATGCCTAGAGAGAAAGACCCAGGGCTACTTTAAAAATGCCTTTGGAAGGTCCATTTTGGTCATATGTGTTACAAGTTTCAACACATCATTTTTACGCCAGCAGCCTCACTGCAGAACTCTATCCTACACAAATACTAGCCTATGTTTGCTAGATGTATAAATCCATGAACATAAATGTATAAAGAAAACCTGCTGCACTGCTTATTAGCAACAAATGAGAAGAACATAGGCTCATCATCATGAATGAGGTTAGGTCTGAAAATATTTAAATCAAAAGCTGTCCAGGATCCACGGTGGGAAAGGCCTGCCGCTATCCCCTGCATCCTTTCCCTTGTACTCCAGCCCTTCCCTCTTTTCTCTCTGCCTGGAGCATTCTTCCCCCCGGATATCCCATCTCCATAGCAGTCAGCTGGAGAGACAGGCCCACAGCACAAGGCTAAGGTTCTGAGGTATCTATCCGTCCTCCCAAGAGTGCTGGGAGCAATTCTGAAGGCATGACACAAATCCACCCGTTTCACTCCCAACACACAGATTCACACTGCAATGAAATTCTACTTGTTAAAAAAAATCCTTTCTGAAATTCTGGACCATCGTTCACAATAAATTGTTATCAATTAGTTCCCAGAAAAAAGTGCTTTGGCCTGGATCAATGTTTTACTTCTGTGCTGTTAGCACCAAGCACAATCCAGAGAAAAAGAAGGATGCTAGGCACACCCAGAACAGCAGAGGGCGCGGTGAAACAGCACAGAACGCTCAGGCAGTAGACTAGCTTCAAGAAAACCCAGTGCATCCCACCTTAAACAAACAGGCCAAGCTACTCCTCCATCCCCCAACAGGTGGAGTCAGGTCAGCATCAACAGATTCCCTCCAAGTCCTTTGCTAAGTCATTCCATACAGCCTGCCTATTAGCCATCTCTTCTGCTAGACAATGGGTTTCAAGGTCCCCTGGAATCAACCACCCAACCCCTTCCACACCTTTCCCCAAAATGGCACCATTCGCCTCTGCCAAGTCAGCATCATTCCATCAATGTCTGTAGTCAGCCTCCTCTAGTAATGCCGCCCCCGTTCGCAGCCGACTCCAGGCAGGTAACAACTTCCACATACAAAGCCAAAGTTTAAATAAAACTTCTAAAGCCAGCCAGCTCATCTCAGATGGAACTAATATAATATGAAAGACTATAAACTGATGGAACTGTGCAGTGCAAATAATTTGGTATTTCTGCTCTCTAAATACTAAGCCTGGTCCCGAGGCCAGTCTCAACTCCTCTGCCTAGGCACCACCCACCACTGCACTCGACTCCTTGCTGTCAAAGGGATGTCGCCAGCTTCCCACCACTAGGATGCCCGTCCTCCCTCTCGGAAGAGGTGAGGGATTAAACTAAAAGGAACAGAGACAGCCAGATGGAAGAGAAGGCAGCGGCACTGAAGAGTCCAAGGAAGGAGCGAGTGGCTCTGACAGTCACCACCAGCATGTCAGCCCCATGAGGACAGAACTTTCTGTGTTTGATTCACTACGAGAAGCCCAGCGTCTAAAAATATTTCTGGAATGCAAACAGGTGGGAGAGGGGATATGTGGAAGTAAAAGAAATATGATATTCCATTCAACAAATATTTTCTGATTACCTATTCTTTGTCAAACCCTACGCTGGGTCTGGTGTTGGTGGAAATTAAACACAAAACACAGATCCCCCCGGAGACCCCAGACCGAGGAAGGTAACAAACAAGATACGACCAGAGATGGGTTTTGAAGGATGAATGGGAGTTAGCCGAGTTGTCAATAGTAAGAGGTAAGGTGGGTCCAAAGCATAGCGCTTTCGGAAGGAACAGGAAGTCAAAGGAAAGCGAGCGGCGATGACCGCGTTAAAAGGCGCGGGGCGCTTCGGGCGCTGCCCAGTCCCGGCCCCCTCCAGCCCGGGGCCCGCCACTCACCACACTCACCGGAAGCGCTCCGTTCTCCCGGAGGCAGACCTGCCAACACAGCAAGGTCCAGTCGCGTTCCGCCGCGGCGCCGGGGCCGCCAGCCAATCAGTGGCGGCCTCTGCCCCGCCCCCGTTTGAACAGCCAATGATGGCGCCGTCGGGCCGGAAGTTGTTCCGTCCGGACGGCGTTTCCACGGACGCCCAGGAGAAAACCCTTGGCAGAGCCGGGAGCGCTGACGGGCCCGGCTGGGCGCCGGGTAAGCGAGGGGAGTGAACCCGGGCGGGATTGCGGGAACAAGGGAGGGGGTGATGGAGGGACGCCGGCGTGGCACCCAACGGCCTGGCCCTCCTGGGGATATCCTCAGAGCCCGGCTTGCTGCCCGCCGCGTTCTGGCACCGTGAGGGGCTCGGAGCCTGCCAGAGACCCCTCGCCCCTTTCCTCTGAGCGCCGCCTACCCACCCCGTCTCCCTTTCCCCCCGGCACCGGCCCTTCCATCGTCTCCACCTCTTTCCTTTTCCCGAGAAGAGAGGCCCCCATTTTTATTTAGCGCCTGCCATGTGCCAGAGGTTTTGCGTAGTGCTGCCCTTAGTCCCCTCAGTGGTAACGTTAGCAGGCTACTCCATGCCCATTTCACGGATGAGGAAACCGAGGGGAAGCAGAAGAGCGATGTGACCCTTGCCCACGGTTTCGGGTCAGTCCGAGCTGGGATTGAAACCCAGGCGTCTGTGACACCCGTACTCCTGATCATTCCACCACACTGCACCGCCCCGGTGAACAATGCGGGGAATTTACAGTTTCTCTTTCCACTGCCCACAACTACACACAAACACGGTCACACAGATGCTGAGGGTGGGGAACGGGAAGAGGGTGGGGAGGTTATTTGAAGGCCAGCGTGGGGTGAGGGGTGGCTGATGCAATGACCAGCTAATCGCTGGGTTCTCAAGAGGGTTTCATTGGTCTCAACCTGGCTCCCCCCAGCCAACCCACCCCCATTGGACAGTCTCAATAGGAAGGTTGGTCAAGAGCTCAAGTGTTTCTGAGAATCTGGGTGATTTATAAGAAGCCCTTCGCTAATGCAGGGTGGGGAGTCGTAAACAAAAGAAAGAGGAGGCTCTTTTCTCAGAAAGGAAAGTGAAAGAAAGAGGGGAAGAATATTAAAGACCACTTCTAGCCAGAAGAGCAGGGCATTCTCAGCTGCTCAACTGCCCAGCGTGACCAGTGGCCACCTCTCCAGTGCCTTCCACAATCTGGGTATGTATTGCTATCTTTGCCAGGCTTAGAGTTTGTTAGTGCTTTCACCGAAGTGCTGAAAACCTTGGTGTAGAAGGTCAGGACTTGTGTCCTAGTATTAGGGTGTTATGCGTCTTACTTCTATTGACCCAAAGTTCAGGTAATTCACTTCTCCCATGGGGAACAGAGATTCTGGCCAAGCGGTCTCGTGCAATGTCTTTGCCTTTTAAGATAATGTTCATTCTGTTATTTGGAGGGTAAAGCAATCTTTCTTTAAGTGTTTTTAAAAAAAAAAAAAAGTGGAACATAATGGGGTCCCAAAAGATGTCAACAACTCCTTGCTCTAAAGAAGTCATTTTCTTGTCCTCTGGGAACTTGCCAGTCCAAAGGCATTGTCATCTACATTCTGGGCCAAGATGTAAAGGATGGTATTCCACCTCCTGGTGGTATTCGAGGGATCCAGAAATGCTCCTGGGCCACATTCTCTTCCCAGCTGCTCCAGAATTGACTGTCTTGATGCCACTCCTCCCCAGACTGCGGAATCAGTGTGTCTGATCTCTGTGAGATAATTTTGATGCAGCCCAAGTCTTTATCATGCTGTTCTGTTAAACAACTCTATAATTCTTTTCACTCCTCATCCCTATACCATTCACTCCTCATCCCAATACCATACCGTTCCCTTAAGAGCCTATTATGCTCCTCCAGAACAGTGGAAACTTTCAGAATGAGCACAAGATTCAAGTTCTTGAAAAGGGGGAATTGGGGGTTAATTTTCAAGAGCCTTTTTAGCTTTCTCCTGGAGGGTCTGCTGTGATTTCCTGTGGAGTAGGCAGTTTTGCTCCTTACACTCCCAATACTTTTGTTTAGGGAAGATAATAGAGTACTTCACTGGCTATAACTGTATTTCTTTGTTTCAGTTTGTAATATTTGTTAAACATGTAAAGTCACTTATCTTAACAAAGATTCAATGTTCTATTTGCAATTTGTATGGTAAACACTGAACACAATGGTCCTTAACCTTTTGGCCGCTAAGCCTCCTTTGCAAAGGTAATGAAGCCAAGATACTCTGCTCAAAACCATACACATACCAAGGTACTTGAAAATGTTAACGTAATTTCAGAGGTTCATGAACTCCAAATTGAAAAACCTCTGAAGTTCAACTCAATTCTGGAGTCAACAAAGAAATAAAGGAGGTTGTTGATAGTTAGGGAGAATGTTCACATAATAAATGGGGTAAATTGGTACATGCATGAAATGAGGACCATGATAGTTCTATTCTCCTTGTCTCTGACCACACAGGAAGTTGTGTCATACACACACACACACACACGATTTCTTTTTTTTTTTTTTTTTTTTTTTAAAAAATTCCCCTTTTTTTTTTTTTTTTTTTTTTGGACAGAGTCTCACTCTGTTGTCCAGGCTGGTGTGCAGTGGCACAATCTTGGCTCACTGCAAGCTCCACCTCCCAGGTTCAAGCAATTCTCCTGCCTCAGCCTCCCAAGTAGCTGGGACAACAGGTGCGTGCCACCATGCCCAGCTAATTTTTTGTATTTTTTTGGTAGAGACGGGGATTCGCAATGTAGGCCAGGCTGGTCTCGATCTCCTGACCTCGTGATCTGCCCGCCTTGGCCTCCCAAAGTGCTGGTATTACAGGCATGAGCCACTGTGCCTAGTCCACACACAAGATTTCAATAGTGTGGATGATTCCCACACAAAATACATGCCTTATGATCATGAGAGCAGGGAAACCTCATCTGTTATTTCCTCAGTCTGATTTCATTCCCATGTGCTTCTTAAATGAAGTTCTGATATTTATAGATACATGTTTTTCCCACAACATGGACCCTAAATACAAGTCTAGTTTCTCTCGCTGATCCTCTAGCAAAGAAACAGTTACCTAATCTATTGCAGTGGGAAATTAGCTGTCCTGGGATCACCCAGGCATTCTTCCTGGCACTTGCCCCAGGAATTTTTAAGGATAATTTGTATCTATACTTGATTGGTTTCAAAACCTTACTGCTGCCTTGTTGCCTTCTGTATAGGGCACCACATTTTTTGGAAGGACAGGGTAAACCAAAAGGAATTCCAAAAATAGCGACCAGGATGGTGGGCAGTTGTTAGCAGGGGGCGAAGAAACCAGAGTAGAGATGCAAGACATGGAGAAAACCCCAGGAGACCAGCCTGGCTCTCCGCAGATCTCAGAAGGCTCAACTCAGTACCAGGACGTTACACAAGAGGCCATCTAAAGTCCAGCTGGGGGAATCAACCTTCAACTAGAACAAGTGAAGACATTATAAGAGGATAAACCTTAGAGGAAAATCGTGAACTAGATGACTAAGGAGATTCATTCATTAGATAAATATTTGTTAATAAGCTGTGTGCTGGGTACTAGAAGTACATGGAAGAATAAACCCAGTGCTTGCCTTCACTGTCTGCTGGGGAACACATGAATAACTAAACTGCAGTGTAAGTGCTTTCATAAAGTCACTAAAGGAGTGTTTGGGGATCACAGAGGATGGAGCAACCAACTTGGTCCCAGAAGCACAGGTGTCAGGAGAGGCTGTGAAGAGCTGAGGTTCAAACTGGAAAGATAATCAGCAGAGTTCAGGCAGAGAAGGGTGTGAGACATTTCAGGCAGGCAGGCAGCAGGGATTCTGAGAGAGCACATGAGCAAGGGGGCTTGGGAATCAGATTCTGGCTCAGCTATTCCCTGGCAGTGGAACTTCAGAAGACTTGTTCTGACTTCCAAGCCATCAGCCTCTCATCTGCTATTGCAGGGCACATAGACTAACACCCAGTTTTGAGAGTTGGGAGAATTCAGGATAAGAATCTGGAAATTTTCATGAGTTTTGTTATTTGATATGGGCAAAGACCTTAGAGAGAAAGGGATGATGACTGATTTGCTCAGCTTGTTGCTGGGGAGGGAATGGGAGAGTCTGGAAGGTTCTCCTCTCTAGCACTAGGAGAGGGTATTTCTGCATTCCTCCCTTAACTGGATTCTGTATGATGAGTCGGTTATAACCACCCCGAACCTCCCTTTCTGGGAATTTAGCTGGTCTTCATGCTATCCCATCCTGGTTTCAGTATTACACTTTCATTCCCTTAAATAAATGTTGATTTACATACTTTTTTTCAGTTTTTTTTTATTTTGTAAAAACTTTTCAGAGACAGGGTCTCACCATCTGTGTTGCCCAGGCTGCTCTCGAACTCCTGAGCTCAAGCAATCGCCTCGGCCTTCCAAAGCACTGTGATTGCAGATGGGAGCCACTGCTCACAGCCCATGATTTATATATTTTGGGGGTTTTTTTGTTTGTTTTGAGACAACATCTCTCTCTGTTGCCCAGGTTGGAGTGCGGCGGCACAGTCTCCACTCACTGCAACCTCTGCCTCCCGGGTTCAAGTGATTCTCCCACCTCAGCCCCCCGACTGAGTAGCTGGGACTACAGGTGTGCACCACCATACCCAGCTAATTTTTTTGTATTTTTAGTAGAGACGGGGTTTCACCATGTTGACCAGGCTGATCTTGAACTCCTAACCTCAGGTGATCCACCCGCCTCTTCCTCCCAAAGTACTGGGATTACAGGCATGAGCCACCATACCCGACCAATTTATATACATTTTAAACAAATATTTAACAAATGGATCTATTAAATGACACCACAAATGTATATGTTTGGTTCACAGAGTTAAGTCATTGGTAGGATAATGGTTGCGAGTGTAGGCTCTAGAGTCAAACTGCTAGAGTTTATAGCCCATGTCTGCCATTTATTTGTGATGTTAACATGGGCAAGCTTTTATTTTATTTTATTTTGTTATAAGTAAAATTTTGATGCCACAAAAGAAATAGCACTTAAAGATAATTCCTCTCAGCAAGGCAGTTTACTTCTGTAGAAGGGTGCCAGTCACAGATGGAGCAATGGTAGCTGCACACCTGTACAAGGAGGGGAAGGGGTGCTTATGCCCTGATGAAGGTCGCCCCTACTGCTGTGTCATTCCCCTATTGGCTAGGGTTAGACTGCACAGTCTAGTCTAATTCCAATTGGCTATTTTAAAGGAAGCAGGTTTGGCGGAAAGGACAGTTATGGGCAGGTCAGAGCAGGTAAGCAGGGGTCAAAGCAGGTGACCAGGATGGGTCAGGGCGGGGGACCGGGGGGTGGGGGGGGCGGAAACAGATGTGAACTACTGATCAGAACGGGTGGAAAAGGTTATTTACTGTAACTACAAGAAAGTTAAACTTTAAAATAGAGAATTAAATAATAAAGCTGAGCATACTGACGTACTGATTCTTTTGAAGAGAACCTTGGGGTTCACTAACTAACAATTTTTTTTTTTTTTTTTTAGAGACAGGGTCTTACTCTGTCACCCAGGCCAGAGTATAGTGGCACAAACATAGCTCACTGAAGCCTCAAACTCATGGGCTCAAGTGATCCTCCTGCTTCAGCCTCCCAAGTAGCTGGGATTACAGGCACACTACCATGCCCAGCTAATTTTTTTTTTCGTAGAGTCACTATATTGCCCCAAATGCCAGGATCACAGGTATGAGCCACCATGCCAAGCCTTGGGCAAGTTTTTTTTAACCCCTCTGTGCCTCATCTATAAAATGGAGATAAATCTATTTCATAGGACTGCTGTAAGGCTTAAGTGAATTGACACATATAAGGTGCTTAGAACAATAACAGGTACAGAGGTGTTCAAAGTTAGCAGCTCAGACACTAGCCTTCTCATTGTCCTCCTCCAAGGTTTTACAGCAAGTTAAAAGAAGCTGGAGTTCAGCCAATCTTTGGAACCCTAAGAAACAAAAGAAAATTAATAACAGCACTTATAATGTAGTTACAACTTGCTTTACAGTTTACAAAGTGCTACCATGCCTTTTTCTTCTCATTTTGTTCTCATAAGAGCCTGGGGTAGATGAAGAAGTTCCTTGTGGTGCCATTGTATAGGTAAGGAAGCTGACAAAAAGAAGTGATGCCGGGTGCAATGGCTCACACCTGTAATTTGAGCACTTTCAGAGGCCAAGGCGGGTGAATCACCTGAGGTCAGGAGTTTGAGACCAGCCTGACCAACATGGAGAAACCCTGTCTCTACTAAAATACAAAATTAGCTGGGCATGGTGACGCATGCCTGTAATCCCAGCTCTTGGGAGGCTGAGGCAAGAGAATTTCTTGAACCTGGGAGCTGAGATCGCACCATTGCACTCCAGCCTGGGCAACAAGAGCAAAACCCCATCTCAAAAAAAAAAAAAAAAAAGTAGAAGAAGTTATTGAGCCAAGAAGGGGTTGTTGGCGGCACAGTCTCTGTCTGCCCTGTCCATACCTTCTGCAAGGGTAATGGTGAATAATGACTACCAGGAGGTGCAGACACACCTTCTCCAAAGGTTTATAGTTAAATAAGGCAGCATGTGGAAGAGAAACATTGCAGACAGTCCTTACCCAATGTGGAACCTAGGACAGGTAAGGCCCTGTCTTCCACCCCAGAGCTCACTTTGTCTGAGAGCAGCTGGCCAGCAGTGGAAGACATTTGCTCAGCAGTATATTGGTTATGGCTGCAAATGCCTAAGAATTCATCCCCAAGGCAATTAAGATAAACAGCAAATAGTGGCTGGATGCTGTGGCTCACGCCTGTAATCCCAACACTTTGGGAGGCTGAGGCAAGCAGATCACCTTAGATCAGGAGTTCAAGACCAGCATGGCCAATATGATGAAACCCCACCTCTACTAAAAATACAAAAATTCACTGGGCTTGGCGGCAGACACCTATAGTCCCAGTTGCTCAGGAGGCTGAGCAGAAGAAGCGCTTGAACCCGGGAGGCAGAGGTTGCAGTGAGCCGAGATC